GACGCAACATCCCACAAGACTGGACACTTGTTTATCTGAAATACGGTTATACTATATATTCGTAAGGTTGTCATAATAAGCAAGGGATTTAAGTATTTAAGTGCGATCTCTTTTAAGAATAACCCGGGCGAAGAACGTGTTTTTGCTCGTTATAAGCAGTTATCGTTTGTGAAACTTCATTCATATTTCAAGTTGTACTCGTCTGCACGCTTTGTAGTTGTGACTTATTCGACATCGTGTAGTCCGTGTGACTAACTTCTGGACCCATGGAATGTATATATGTCAAAAAAATCCTGATAGGGAACTGAGTACAATGCAATCTATCTCTGAGATTAATCCCTGCGTCCATGACAACCTTGTAATTCCTGGCGCTCAGCGATGTTCATAATTCCGCGACGTTATCAGATTCACACACGTCGACATATCTTCGTCCCGAAATTGGGCAATAAGAAGTCTGTGTTTTACGAGTGCATTACCCGGTTTATTTTAAAGGAAACGGCTAAGAATGTCATAAAAGAGAATAGTTTTCAGGTCCACTGAGAGCTTCTAATGATTTTTGAAAGAGTAGGCGAATGTTGTAACACACATTATCAAGACTACGCCACCGGACTCCCATAGTTTTGTTGTAACACACATTATCAAGACTACGTCACCGGAGTCCCATAGTTCTGGAGGTTTATTTCAGACTCGAGATTTAGGATTGCCAGGTTGGCGACATTGCCGTGTTCTCCTTTTATAGCTTGTTGAAGCTTTCGGAATAAGAAGAACTACCAAGGATTAGATAGGAGGAGAGAGGGGATTAAGAAGATGGCTGTCTTCTGGGTTGTAGAGCCATTTAGTCTGGGAGAAGTTAACCGACGTTTCGGAGGTGTTTGCTGCCTCCATCATCAGAGCGATTACGTCATGTTTAACAGGCGATGCTGTGATCATATATGCAGTTTCTCTGATAAAATTATTGCTACATTATCGTTTGTTTCTTTATATGAACTAAAACATATTTGATAAGAATTTGTTTACAATGCTGAGTACACAAAAGGATTTTCTACGTCCCGAAGATGAGAACAGTCTGATGATAGAAGCGCCGAATGAGTAACTTTTGTTGTAGACTGTACCAAAGGAAGAAGTTTTTAAACAGCGTAATTAGAATGTGTGTATAAAGCGCTGTTTGCTATTAAAATATTTGAGTTAATGCTGTTAAATTTTAAACTTGGCATGCTCAGAAATAAATGCAAGACAGTTTTGCGTGGTATTATCAAATCAACTTCCTGGAACTAACATTTGCTTCGTATGTTGTGATAATGGCAGTGACGATACGTCCAATGTAATGGCGTAATCTGTAGGGAATTCTGAAAGTGAGAAAGGCGGACGTCTCTTGGATGTATGTCGTTTGTTTCAGAACATGTCTCCCGCCAAGTACAGTATGCGATATGTGAATGCACAGCGGAATCTGAAAAAGACATTTTTTTTTTTACTCAGGTTATTGAAACTGAAGTGGAACATTTACATTGCTGCAAAGGGTTTAACGCTCCTACGTACTTCGGATTTTGGAGGTTTCAACCTCGGTCCGAAGGCGTGAAACACTCATCGTGGTTTGGTAGGATCTCCCGTCTCAATGCAAATGTCTGCAATGATCTTCCAGTGGGCTGCGACTTCTTCGTTGAAAACCTCTTCAAATTTAACACTCATGAGATTCCTATCACTTGCATACAGTTAGCAGGTCGTCGTTAAATATGCTAATACTTAGTTATTATTCGAAGAATAAACCTGCCTTGAGAATAAGGATTATCGCGTTTATAATCATTTTCATAAAACAAGTTACGATCGAGTTTTTATAATAACTTTGCAGCTGAATGTCTGTGGTGTTGCAAAATTTTTTTACGGGCGTTCTGCTTTGTTAGTGGTCTATTTTGGCGATGTCTACTGCTGTAAAGTGTCTAGTATGCCCCTGCCCAGTCCACTGGTCGTTCCTTGATTTGACATCTCTTATTATTATTATTATTATTATTATTTTAAACTGTAAGATTTGTTCATGACGAGACGCCATGTGTCACAACCACAAATGCATGAAGTCCAGAGATGCTGCTAGCGAGGTAGCCTTGCTTAAATGAAAAAGAAAAATGTGCAAATATATTTTAACGATTTTGGGGGTCAGTAGATTTAAATATTAAACACTAACCTCGCAGACGAGTCATAAAAATGTTTCCTGGTAATGGAAGTATTCCATTTGACGATAGTCCTGTTTGCCAAGAACACACAATACCTTTGAACATGGCATCTCCACAAAGCTTCTAGGCTTTTATTGTGAATCGTTTGTAAGAACAGGTGGCATGTTTAACGAGCACTTGTATTACGCCTCGCTTATCGGTCACTTTGATATGATGATGAAGACCAACACTTCCATAAACTTGCTTCATACAGGATTTTTCGTCATTATGGTTTTTATTCCCGAGGCAAGGCAATTTGCATGTGTAAGGTTTGAAGGAGATTTATCCTTTGCTCCGTCTTAAAGACGACGACCACTGCAGATTAAATAAGAAAGCGCTTCGTAGGAGTTACCTCTTTTTAAGCCTGAGACGGCCATCCGCGGAGGTTAGGTTAGGTTACGTTCCCCGTCGTAGCCTATTCTCGAATCACGTGCCCTTGGTTGTCAGTTTTCATGTTTAGGTCAAAGGTTAGCCGAGGATCGCAGTTTTCTGACTGACGTTGGAATTATTGCCGAATATAAGATTTTCTTCCTGATAATCTGTAGAAGAAGGAGGAGGTGTTTCTGAAATCCCGTTCTTGCGTGTGAAATGTTTCCCGCTGGCTTCACCGGTCAAATACATTGAAGTACCTACCATCTCCAAGGACCAGAGTCTCTCGTTGCTCAGCTAACAAAAAAAATTTTGAAGGTCCATACCGTGTTCATAGGAGCCCGCCACCAGATGAATCCAAGCGACATCCTCTCTCGACATTACTTTAAGGTCTGTTTTAATATTATCATCCCATCTGCGCCTTTGGTGGTCACTGCCGTGCAGGCTTTGTTACTAAACCTGAGTGTGTGTGTGTCATATACCCTTCCATGCTGCATGTCCGACCCATCTTGTTCTCATTGACGTGATCATCCTAGTTCTACGAGCATGTAGCCTGCATGCCTTGTAATTTGTCTCTTTGCCATATTTACGATAATGAAGCAGGCTAATGCGGCGGTAAGACTCCTGGTACTCGGTTCGAATCTCGTTTCTGCTACCGGGCGATCGTGATTTTGCTCAGTTTGTCCATGGAAAGAATAACTCGGTCTTTGAGTTAGTTTCGAAAATAAAAATTTACGAAAGTTGGCAGTCTTGACTCCTAGACATCCAGAGCTCCTATTTGCGCCACAGACGGGGCGAAACGGGATAGGACAGGACGTAGCGTCGCGACTTCAGTAAAATTGAAGCTGTGAAGTGGATCTTGAAGTGGGCAACGGAGCTGGAAATCGAATTACGCTGAGTCGGAAGGCATGTGGGTTTTTTTTAAGCTTCAGAAAGTAAACTGGTGGTTTTTGATCGCGACATTGCAAGAATTAAACCGGTTGAAATTATTGAGATCGAAAAAGTGCTTTAGGAATTCGGAAGCAAGATTACAGATAAAAGTATAATTTTAGGACAAGTTTAAATAGACGTAATCCGATTTTAATATGGCATGAACATCTTACCTAGTTTGCATATTATAGATGAACTCGTTTAGACTCGCTGTTAACAAGCTGAATACCTAGAGTCGGAAAAACCCACTCAGTGCCTTTTCGCCGGTCATTGAATCAGGAAACGCTGAGGACAGTGGTAACTATACCACCTGGTTCGACATTCAGCAACTGCATTTTGCCCGCAGAGCGTTTTTATGTGTTTTGTGCGATTCTCAGAATAACCAGCGGTTATTTACTTCGTTAACGAACTGAGAGTCGTCATGGAGATACGTTTTCTTTGCGGTACGGACTCGGTGTTCAAATATCATAGACGAACTTCGGCGCAGGCCTCCGCCCTCAGTTAGCTTTTTGGTTGGTGGTGGTGGTGGTGGCTCTATCAGGATAAACGGTAACCACGCGGGGAACTAGACAGTTCTTGAATGAAGGTTTAGAGCGTTACCGCTACACTAAAACGCTCTTAAGAACTGTTATCGGGAAAAGGTTGAATTTGGGGGGGGGGGGGGGGGGAGTGAGAAATGAAACAACTGTGACAAAATACAGAAGACTTCATTTTCCTCATTTGTTTCCATACAATGATGTCACTTATTTACATAAAATATTAAGTGGCGTTTATGATAACAGTTTATTAATGTGTATGTGTTGTTTATTTAACGACGTTACCAGTAGCTTAGCCTGTGTAGCGTCGATGATCAACGTAGGATGAATTGGAGGGATGTGGAAGGAAGCAGTTATGGACTTTATTCAAGGTATCTCCCAGCTGAGTAAAACCACGAAAACCTCAGTCAGGTTGTCCAGTCTCTGGGCCCGAGGTATGAACCAAGGATCTGCCGAGTAACTTGGCAACTATCAGTTTCTCAAGAAGGGTTGTGCTCCGTGGAGCTAGCCCCAGAGCTGATATGAATGAGCTTAGTCACATGTCTGTCTGTCTATCTGTCATTATATAACGACTGCAGGAAGCTCGTAGGAGTTTTTGATTTTATTTGTAGACACATTCCAGTTTTAATTAAAAATTGGGCAACCGCGCCGGGTGCTGTGAACGCGCATCAGACGGGCAGTGGTGCGTGAACCGCATTCCTTGGCAGAACGGAAGTGACACAAGACGAATTATTCGAATGGGGAGGAGCTGATAATGTCTCTGGTGACGTCATCGTGGCGTCACTTCGACTGGGTGAAGACGGTGGGGAGACAGCGCCGTTGTTGTTCGTGCCCGGCGTCGCGGTAGCCTCCTCGGTCTTGCCCACAGGCGCCTCGAGGGTCATGAGCCCCGAACCCGCGCATTTCTTGTAATGAGTCCTCATATTACTTGACTGGCTGAATCGTAGCCCACATTTGCCGCATGAGTACGGTTTGGTTCCAGTGTGGTAGTTCAAGTGCGTCTTGAGGTGATGTTTCTTCGTGAAGGCCTTGGCGCACAGCTGACAGGAGTACGGCTTGATCCCGGAATGCAGTCGCATGTGCAGTGTCATGTTACTTCTGTCGGCGAAGGCTTTTCCGCACACGCTGCACGCGAACGGCTTCTCACCAGTGTGGATACGCAAGTGTTGCTTAAGGAGCATCTTGCGCGAGAAGGTCTTGCTGCAATGCGGGCACGAGTGAGGACGTTCGCCTGGAACAAGACGCGCCAGTGAGAAGAAAAATACTGAATAATAAGAATATGTCTGACATGAAACCAGTGACCAACTCACCAATGTTACCAACAGCACAAAACGGAGAGTCGTCGCGCTGTTTCAGAAGGGTTTTTTTTTTCTTGAGTTCCTAAGTGGTATAAAACGCGTCCTTAATTCTGTTGTTAACAGCGGTTACGAAGTGTAACTTGTTCCACTTTCTCACGACTTTTAATATCGTCCACTCAAAAACAGGGCAGCGATAATATTTCTTACACAGTTTCTCCGTATGTTTGTAGAATTTAAAGCGACGTGGATGTAATTGAAATGTTCGCCAGGATCTTTTGTGAAAGGATTAACAGATGCCTGCCAGCTGGTTGCTCATGAGAGCTATAAGGAAACTTGCCGAGTGCCCGAATGAGGCAGGGCAGCCAACAGAACAGCGCTGAATGAGCGTCACGTTCGTCTGTCCGCTTGTTTTATAATTAGTTGCTGGTCACGGATCAAGTTAACTCTGTGACTGACACATTCCTGAGATATCCGGTTCGAATCTCGGCTGAAGAGTACGTTATTCTCGTCTTTTTTGTGTTTTCCCTCGTTCCCCTTTCAGATTAGTTAGTGGCTTGAAATATGTCACGGTGTCTCCTTCTTTAACCTTTTATGATTCGTCACCCTGCATTTATATTAAGCTGAGCGCACACATAATTGCCAGGCTTTGGTTTCTACTAACCTTTTATGATTCGTCACCCTGCATTCTTATTAAGCTGAACGCAAACATAATTTCCAAGCTTTGGTTTCTACGTTGCCGCTGTCATATTAAGATTTATATCGTATAAAATAACGTAGCTGTAAGGCGTTTACGATGTGCTGGTGCCATCAGAGGTCATTTCCGAAAGATTGAATTCCGATGATACCGAAGTCCGTTTTTCGAAATGCATCCAGGATTTTTTTAATTAAAAAGAAGTCGGAGGTGCTGACCTGTGTGAATCCTCACGTGCATGTTGTAGGCCACCCGCTGGTTGAAGCTCTTGCCGCAGAACTGACACCCGTATTCCTTCCGATTTCTATGAATCTTCATGTGCGAGCTCAGGTAACCGCGGTCGTTGAAGTATTTGCCACACTCGGGACACGAAGCCGCGAACTCCCGAGTGCCCTCGTGAACGGAGCGGTGGTACTTGTAATTGCGCAGTTGGCTGAACTGTTTCCCGCACTCACCACACTGGAACGGCTTTTCCCCGGTGTGGGTCCTGAGGTGAACCTGGAACAGAGTGACTTACGTCGTAGCGAGGAACGAGGGACGTCGAGATACTGCTGACCTCTCGAGGAAAGGCGGGCTTATGGAGGTTCGCGATGAGTCTGTCAGCGTTTTATGACTTTTGAAGAACCTGATAGATGTTCACGAAACTTGGCGTGAATATGACGTCACTGAACCTCTCTATACTCTCGAAATTTTTACCATCAGTGATAAATACGCGGCGAACTTTTGAGGTGGGATCCACTGGAACTTCAACCGGCATATAGGTGTAAGATCCCGAAGATCGTTTGACTTTTAAAAAATGTAAGAGAGCAACATGGCGGCATTGCGAAATTTTTATATCGTGCAGCATAAATGGCCTTACAGTGGTCGGAATTAGCTCACAGAGAAGTGATTTATAAAATATTAATCTAAATGTAGTTAATTATTGTCGTGTCATAATATGCTGAAGTGTGTGGAGGGGCAAAGGGGCAGTAGGTGTGTATCTTAAGTATTCCAACCAAAATTAATCAGCCTATACCGTACTTAGTGGACACATCAGTGCATTTTGTCTGCATGTGTACGGAAATTGTTTTTACGCTTGGTGCGGAGTCTGCCAAGACAAATGAAATACGTTACTGTACTTTTGCACGCGCGGGGGAAGGGGCTACCTTGAGCGAGGCGCGAGTGACGAAGGCTTTCCCGCAGCTCGGACACGCGTGTTCGGGTCTGCGAGCGGGCTCGTGCAGCTTCTGGTGCGTGCTCCAGTGGCCGCGCTGGGTGAACTGACGTCCGCACTCGGCACACGAATATGGACGTTCTCCCGTGTGGATGCGTCGGTGCTGGACCAGCAGCTGGCGCCGGGAAAAGCATTTCCCGCAGTCCTGACACCCGTGGGTCTTCACGATTGGGTCTCCTTGTTTCGCCTCCTCCGGTAGACCTGAGACAGAGCAAGTGACAAGGCGGTCACAATCAAGCCAACCACACGCCAAGGGCGTTTGATCCATACCCGGGAACATGTCCTCCAGCTCCTCTTGAGTTCGTGCGACTGTCATGTGAGACGTTGCGCCTTGTGATCTGGTAGAAATTAACAGACATGAAGACATCGCCCTGATGACGGACGCAGTAAGCACCTCAAAAACGTCGGTCAGTTTCCACCAGACCACAAGGCGCAGCATTCCAAAAGACGGCCGGCAACTGAGTGAAATCTGATGTCTCTTATTAAGGGAGAAACGTGCCTCTAGCAGGGCGGAAATGAAAAGGTGGAGACAGTTACTCGGTTTGGAGCTACAAAATCTCTGCTTCTCGCCAAATGTTATCAGAGCGATCGGATGATGGAGGATGAGATGGGTGAGTCATGTAGTACACAGGGAACAGATGAGAAATTCAAACAAAATTTTGGCCTGAAAACTCTTTTCTTGACAGATAGTACCTTCTCTGTAGGCTACTGCGTGTGGACTTATAGGTAGATACCAACGTTTCGGAGGAAAATATTGCTTCCATCTTCAGGGCGTCAGTAACCGTAACTGGCATCTTCCTGCCTTGAGGACCTCAGGAATGATGTAACTATGGGGTGGGGGGGTTGAACTCACCGTTATTATTATTGTTGTTGTTGTCATTTTTCACGAAGCTCGTGTGCCTTCCGTCATGGAGTACTTGGACGTCATAGTCGTCCTGAACGTGATCCAGACCCGCGTCCTTCCGTTCCCCTTCCGACCCGGTGACGGCGAGTTCCTGTGCCCTGTCGTCAGTCAAGACCGGTGCAGCCTCGTCGGTTTTCGGGTCTCCTCCACCCGCTTCTTTATCACAGCCTTCTAACTTTGCATTATCGTCTTCTTTTACATTCTCCTTGTATGATAAATTTGCGTCGCAGATGGACAAATTCGGCGAAGACAGCTCGGAGAATGTTTTCAGTTTCTGTTGTAGCGACTCCGTCAGTGGCGAACTGGTCACTTTCCGGTATTCCGGCGTGCCTCTGGAACTGTTTAGATGCGTGCTTCGTACCGGACTTTGTGGGGACTTCGTCGATAAGTCGCTGGCAACTTCCTCTTCGCTGCTCCCACTTCTAAGTTGTCTCGCCGTTTCTTCTCTGTAGAATTCTTCCAGTCGCCTCGACTTCAGTTTGCAGAACATGGCCGCGCTCTCCGAAGGTCTCCTACGAAGAGGCGTCGTTTCATCGGGACTCTTGTCGCTGCTTTGGGGAGGGGGTGA